CCACCTGGAGGAATGTAAACGAGGAACACATTGCAATATATAAATATGAAATATATTTGCATATAAAGAGCACGTGTATAGTGCAATTAATGACCACGTAGTCTTTAACATGGCATTATTACGCTCTGAGTTAATGGACCGTTGTAATTTGTATTGAAATTAGTATTTCTTTTTTATATGGCAAATGATTATTTAGGATGAAAATCGAGCTCACACCTATGAAGGAATTAGATAAATAGTGTAAAATTGATCGTGATATTACTATTGTGTCAAACGTGACCAGGAAGAGACACAATAAGAGAAATTAGGAAGGAAGGTACACAGAGTGATAAAGAAAGATGATAGAGATAGGCAGAGACCGAGGGAAGGGGAGCGGGTGAATCAGATTCAATTTGGAAAACTAATCTCAAAATTGCGTTGATGAAATTGAGGAAGAGACGCGCACGCCTTTCTCTCTGTCAATTAGCTGTTGACAGCGTCCACTGAATGTTGTCCGAATTGTGGCGTTTTTTATTAGATAAGTCTCCCCCTCTCTCCTGAGAGCCTCTGCCATCACCAACATCCTGCTCTTCCTTCAACACATTGACAACACTAAAACTCCACCATCAGCACCTTGACAACACTAAAACTCCACCATCAACACATTGACAACACTAAAACTCCACCATCAACACATTAACAACACTAAAACTCCACCATCAACACATTGACAACACTAAAACTCCACCATCAACACATTGACAACACTAAAACTCCACCATCAACACATTGACAACACTAAAACTCCACCATCAACACATTGACAACACTAAAACTCCACCATCAACACATTGACAACACTAAAACTCCACCATCAACACATTAACAACACTAAAACTCCACCATCAACACATTGACAACACTAAAACTCCACCATCAACACATTGACAACACTAAAACTCCACCATCAACACATTAACAACACTAAAACTCCACCATCAACACATTGACAACACTAAAACTCCACCATCAACACATTAACAACACTAAAACTCCACCATCAACACATTGACAACACTAAAACTCCACCATCGACAACATTCTACAGTGGCAACTCTAGCTACCCTCAACATCATCATTACCAGCACCAGCATACCACGGTATGAGTAGGAATGACTTACTGGTATCATCTGTTCCACCTAGTTACCAACGGTGTGGTGGTACCATCTGTGCGGCTTACGTACTTACGTGATCTGATCAACGTTAGTACTAACAGAGTGCTAATATCAACTGTCCGTCCTGGGGAACCAACGGTATCTCTTGCTAACTATGTGAACGTAGCACGTTATATGATAGCGAAGAATTACTGTTATCGAGCGGGACTTTAATCTTTACATTTTAAAAATAATACATATTACCATCGTTTAAAAAAAACACGTATCAAGTATTTATGTAATTGAATTGATTTTTTTCATATATGTACAAGTATTTATGTTTAAATAAATTAAATTATTTAAATTTCATAAAATGGTTGGACTCATATATACCTAATTGTGCCTAATTGGTTGGTATAAATGTTTAAATATACTTTTAGTCCTGTACTATGTTCAGGACTATAGTATAACTGGTGGTTGGTTATTAAGTTATTCTGGTGGCCTTAATAACCCTCTCGTGGTTGAAAAGGTTAAAAGCAATACACTAAATAAAAAAATTATAATTGGCTTAGTTTACGAAATTTTCAAATACATTATTCATTTACACAATGAAATAATAATAGGCTAACAGTGAGTATTATAATTATATCTATATGAGAGTATGACTGTTTGTCCGTGAAAGGTTAGAGGACAGACGTTAAGGGTTAGTCTCACCCAATTTTGAATGGTGATTGGTACAGGGTAGCTGACCAACATGGAGCACTGGGGTTGCTATATGGCTTATTGATCCTAGTTTTAAAGGCAGGTCGGCCCTCAAAGCGCAACTTTTGGTGCCTGAGTCGACTCAAGCACTTGGTCGACCTAGCACAATGGATCGAGACCCGTCCTACGGATTGACCCAGACTTTTAACTCTTAAATGAAGCAATCTTTTGGAGATGATCCGGTCATCCAGCAACGTATAATAAAGAAAATTTGCATGGCCCTGTTGACATGATGCCAAATAAATTGAATACATTTCTTGATAATTGTTTATTATTCAGTGATTTTAAGAGATACATTATAAAAAACAGGAGATTGAAATATAGGTATATTTTACTCTCACTTTATAGGTAACTAACATAAATATAACATGAAATCAAATAAATTGTGTACAGCCTCATCCTTTTACATTAATGGTTTCAAGAACTAGGCTTTGGAACATACAGCTCATGCAGCATGTATCTTATTCTAAATTGTATTCCAAATTGCAAATGCTTGTCTATTAGCCATCTTTTTGTGACTAATCCTTATACTAGCCTCACGTGTTGGGAATCCCTGCCTCCTATCCTGGCGCCAGATTCACGAAAGCACTTACGAACCTGTACATCGTTTCTCAATCTTTGGCGGTTTTGTTTACAATTATTAAACAGTTAATGAGCTCCGAAGTACCAGGAGGCTGTTTATAACAATAACAACAGTTGTTTGGCAAGTTTTCATGCTTGTAAACTGTTTAATTACTGTAACCAAAGCCGTCAAAGATTGAGGAAAGATGTACACGTTCGTAAGTACTTACGTAACTGCTTCGTGAATCTGGCCCCAGGGTTCGAGACCCATACAGCCCCTGGTGACTGTCAGCGTAATGTAAACGAGGACAATAAAAAAAATGGATCTTATCACAACTAGCGAGTAAAGAGACTAGGAATGAGATCTTAAGAATATAGAAGACGGTTATCGCACCAACCAGACCTCTCCTTATTTTGAGCAACCTGACCTTGGTATTATGTAGCGTTAGAATCCTCTATGTCTACCAAACTTTACGGTAGGTAAATCACACAAAAGATGCCTACAATAATGTCAAAAATGTTCTCTGTAAAACTTGCTCAATTTTTCCTGGGGATTTTCCTTTCAAAATGTAATTCCTCGCCAAGAATGCCTTCTATGTAAGTTCTTTGAAAATTTATGTTTAATAATGTCTTCATCCGTAGCGCGGTGGCCCTCGTAACTTTACACCGCAACGATATTTGCATTCCTTAGGTCCCAGCGCCTCCTGGAACCTAGCAGTTCCAGCGCCTCCTGGAACCTAGCAGTTCCAGCGCCTCCTGGAACCTAGCAGTTCCAGCGCCTCCTGGAACCTAGCAGTTCCAGCGCCTCCTGGAACCTAGCAGTTCCAGCGCCTCCTGGAACCTAGCAGTTCCAGCGCCTCCTGGAACCTAGCAGTTCCAGCGCCTCCTGGAACCTAGCAGTTCCAGCGCCTCCTGGAACCTAGCAGTTCCAGCGCCTCCTGGAACCTAGCAGTTCCAGCGCCTCCTGGAACCTAGCAGTTCCAGCGCCTCCTGGAACCTAGCAGTTCCAGCGCCTCCTGGAACCTAGCAGTTCCAGCGCCTCCTGGAACCTAGCAGTTCCAGCGCCTCCTGGAACCTAGCAGTTCCAGCGCCTCCTGGAACCTAGCAGTTCCAGCGCCTCCTGGAACCTAGCAGTTCCAGCGCCTCCAGGACCATAGGAGTTCCAGCGTTTCCAGGACCATAGCAGTTCCAGGATCATAGCAGTTCCAGCGCTACCAGGAGATTAGCAGTTCCAGCGCCTCCAGGACCATAGCAGTTCCAGGGCTTCCAGGTGAATAGCAGTTCCAGCATCTCTAGGATCATAGCAGTTCCAGCGCTACCAGGAGATTAGCAGTTCCAGCGCCTCCAGGACCCTAGCAGTTCCAGCGCTTCCAGGAGACTAGCCTCCATGAGTCCAGTAGTTCCAGTGCCTCTAGGAGCCTACCAATTCCAGCGCCTGTAAAAGTCTAGTAGGGAGATTATATAGTGGTTCATAAATTGTGCCTCTGTGGACGGTAGAGCGACGGTCTCTCTATATGCAGGTCGGCGTTCAATCCCCGACCATCCAAGTGGTTGGGCACCATTCCTTCCTCCCGTTCCATCCCTAATCCTTTCCCCTGACACCCCTTCCCAGTGCTATATAGCCGTTACGTCTATATTGTCGTAATGGTTTGGCGCTTTCCCCTGATACTTCCCGTCCCTTCTCTCTCTCTCTCTCTCTCTCTCTCTCTCTCTCTCTCTCTCTCTCTCTCTCTCTCTCTCTCTCTCTCTCTCTCTCTCTCTCTCTCTCTCTCATAAAGTGACCCTCCTCATTTTTCAATAACAGCCGCGTCATCTTAATCTAAGCCTTCTCGTCCAACTAACATTAAAACTTCACGACCCTTCTAAAATTAACTTCCTAAGATAATCCCATTAATCACCTATTACATTATTCCTATGCCCCTTCATGTAATCCCCTGAGGGTAATCTGCACCCCTGTCCTAGGCATACCTCGTTGTTCCTAATATAATCCAAATTTATCACTAGGATTCCTGTCTGTACCTTTTAATGTAATCCCCTGAGGAGGGAGGGGGTCCCCTTCTGGCTACGCTAGGCGTATCTCACAATATAAGCAATATTGCGTAAAGTAGAGAAGTACCAAAATGAGAATGGGATTTATTTAGTAAATAACGACTCGCGTTAGGCTTTATCCAATTTAACAAGGCGATATTTTGTTCTCTTAAATGTATGGTAAGGGCTCAGCTTGGTGTGTGTGTGAGTCTATACATTCTTGTCAGGACTTTGTGCTCTCTTCAGCTGCAATGTATTGAACTGTAACGTTTGTTCCAAATATTTTTAGTAATAATCATAATGTTAAATTGGATATCTGGATCCAATCTAACATAGGTGGAGCTCTGCTGAATTTTTTTTTTCGTGTAGATGAAAATGCAGAATCTGCATTTTCTGCCCTGAAATAAAACGCATTTAGTGAGTGACACGTCGTAGAGGAGCAATAAAACAAGTGCTTTACACATTTAAAAACTTGTAATCTAGCACATGAGGCGAGGTTAAGCACACCATTACCACTTGGCATTTAATTTCATTTATTACAGAACAACCAGTTATAGATTACAGTTGTTGTGAAAATTTGTATTCAGCTTAACAAGGGTTGTAACAACGGAGCTGCAGCGAATCTTCGTACTATTGGCGCTTGATATATTTAATTTCTGTAGTTTGGGAAGACCAGATTGCTGTGGTGGTTTGAGTGAGGTGGAGGTGTCGACGACGACGAGGCAGCAGGTGGTGGCGGCAAGGGCGAGGCAGCAGGTGATGGCGGCGAAGGCGAGGCAGCAGGTGGTGGCGGCGAAGGCGAGGCAGGTGGTGGCGGCAACACTGTTAGAGCAGCAGGTGGCGACGACGAGGGCGAGGCAACAGGCGGCGGCGAAGCTGGCGAGGCAGCAAAGGGCTCGTTACGACCCTGTTAGGGGCAGCAGGTGACGACTACGAGGCCTCAAACAAAACACTGCATCTCTGGGCAACAGTCAGGAAACGGGAGGGTGGAGTCGCCATCGACGGCCGCACACTCCGCCTCAATTACTCCGCACCTGAAGGAACAACAGCTAAAATAAAACCTTACAGTAACAAAAGACGATGTTTATTACCCGTCAACCCCCTGTTCTAGTGACTCACTAGTGGTCACTAGTGGCTTACTTGTGGTCACTAGTGGCTTACTTGTGGTCACTAGTGACTTGTGGTCACTAGTGGCTTACTTGTGGTCACTAGTGGCTTACTTGTGGTCACTAGTGACTTACTTGTGGTCACTAGTGGCTTACTTGTGGTCACTAGTGTCTTACGTGTGGTCACTAGTGACTCAGCTATAGTCACACGCATCCCGAACTTAGCATGAGAAAAACGCAGTCACCATTTTGTATATATCATTCTCTCTCTCTCTCTCTCTCTCTCTCTCTCTCTCTCTCTCTCTCTCTCTCTCTCTCTCTCTCTCTCTCTCTCTCTCACCGGTCGGAGTCTTATCTCTCTCTCTCTCTCTCACCGGTCGGAGTCTTATCTCTCTCTCTCTCTCTCTCTCACCGGTCGGAGTCTTATCTCTCTCTCTCTCTCTCTCTCTCTCTCTCTCTCTCTCTCTCTCTCTCTCTCTCTCTCTCTCTCTCTCTCTCTCTCTCTCTCTCTCTCTCTCACCGGTCGGAGTCTTCACAAATACTTACGAAGTTATCTGAGCGTAGATGCCGTCAACCAGACGCAGGCATCTGACTACTTCACACAGCCCGGGGGCCTGCGTGTCTTCGGTGAAGGAGTAACTAGCTCCTTCGTACAAACACCTCTCCGGATCCTCTGAAAGTATCGTACGACCGTTTCATTTGTTGACGTGTATAAACAGTGTATATACAGTGTTATACAGTACACAGAGAGGTATACACTGGGTATGCAAGTGTGTGTATATATATATAGTGTAAGTATACGAGACACAGATATTGGATGAGATATACATAAACACACAGATATATCAGACACATTTATACATGTGTATGTCTTTATACATTATACATACATCCATATACACATACTAGACAGGGTATGACAGTGCAGGGTGCCCAGTAGACCCGGCGAGTGGGTTTATACCCTGCACACACATAGGTCGACTTGGTAGCATTCTACCAGAAACAAATCAAAGAATATGTTGAGCAGTAATGGTAATATATGGGAGCATATACGGCATCACGGAGTATGGCAACACCTCCTAGCTCTGTCTGTTTCTCCCTCTGTGTCTGTCTCTCTCTGTGTCTGTTTCCCTCACTCTGTGTCTCTGTCTCTCTCTCTCTCTGTCTGTCTCTGTATGTCTGTCTGTCTCTTTCTCTCTCTCTCTCTCTCTCTCTCTCTCTCTCTCTCTCTCTCTCTCTCTCTCTCTCTCTCTCTCTCTCTCTCTCTCTCTCTCTCTCTCACTCTGTCTGTCTGTGTCTCAGTCTTTCTGGTTGTGTCTATCTCTATTTGTGTCTATTCCTATCTGTATTTATCTCTATCTTTGCCCCTTTCTCTCTCTGTCTTGTGCAATTTTGACGCAGTATGTTTAATTTAAAGAAAACGTATGTAACTATATGAAACCGTCGTGGCCAGGGTTCGAACCCAGCTTCCTCGATTCTTAACCGATGTAGAACACTGCGCTCCAGAACCCACGTACATAATATGTCTATCCACCTGTCGTTTCTCGCCAAGAATAATTTAATTGAGCTGACAGATTGCACAATCTTACCTGGATCTAATTCAGCTCCAGCGATAAACATCGCTGCCACGGAGAGGCCCACAGTTGCCAGTAGAAGCACGAGGGAGAGCAGTCTCGCTGCCATGCTGTTGGAGTGAGTGCTGGAACGAGTGTGGTGTGGCGAGATGGTGGACCCTCCTTCTCTATGCATGCTTAGGGGGAGCAACTTGCCAGCTTATATAACGAAGCTGACACCAGCCCTGCCCTCTCTCTCTCTCTCTCTCTCCCTCTCTCTCTCTCTCTCTCTCTCTCTCTCTCTCTCTCTCTCTCTCTCTCTCTCTCTCTCTCTCCCTCCCTCTCTCTATCCACCTTGTGTGTAGTGATGCCTCCAGACACATCACTCACCTTGTGCGTAGCGATGCCTTTACAGTAATATTTAAAACATCTCTTCCCGCAGCCTCACTATATTTCCTCTGGTCATTTCGGCAGCGCCGTCTCGGGTGATTCTTTTGTCATTAGAACAGACCAATCTGCATTCTACAGCTACATAGTCATTCAGCGCTCTGAATATGTTTGATTTTCGTTATGCTTCTTTGTGCGGTCAAACAACACAGTAAAAAGATCCTCTTTTATATATATATATATATATATATATATATATATATATATATATATATATATATATATATATATATATATATAATATACATATATATATATATATATATATATATATATATATATATATATATATATATACCTGGTTGATACCTGGTTGATGGGGTTCTGGGAGTTCTACTCCCCAAGCCCGGCCCGAGGCCAGGCTCGACTTGTGAGAGTTTGGTCCACCAGGCTGTTGCTTGGAGCGGCCCGCAGGCCCACATACCCACCACAGCCCGGTTGGTCCGGCACTCCTTGGAGGAATAAATCTAGTTTCCTCTTGAAAATGTCCACGGTTGTTCCGGCAATATTTCTTATGCTTGCTGGGAGGACGTTGAACAACCGCGGACTTTGAACTGGACTCAACTGGACGTTGAACAACCAGATATATATATATATATATATATATATATATATATATATATATATATATATATTTGTGTAATGACATTTTCAAATAAAGTTAGAGAAATATACACACATACCAAAAGAATAGGGGTGGTAGGAGAAGAAAATATCAAAGTGTTCAGTGAGGATCCACAAGGTCTTCTCTGAGTAGTCTTTATTTTCTTCTCCGAGGCTATGGGTCCCTACACTTGCACCAGAGGTGGTACCCCTTCTAGGTTTATTAAAAAATATATATATATATATATATATATATATATATATATATATATATATATATATATATATGTCGTACCTAGTAGCCAGAACGCACTTTTCAGCCTACTATGCAAGAACCGATTTGCCTAATAAGCCAAGTTTTCTTGAATTAATATATTTTCTCTAATTTTTTTCTTATGAAATGATAAAGCTACCCATTTCGTTATGTATGAGGTCAATTTTTTTTATTGGAGTTAAAATTAACGTAGATATATGACCAAACCTAACCAACCCTACCTAACCTAACCTAACCTATCTTTATAGGTTAGGTTCGGTTAGGTAGCCGAAAAAGTTAGGTTAGGTTAGGTTAGGTAGGTTAGGTAGTCGAAAAAACATTAATTCATGAAAACTTGGCTTATTAGGCAAATCGGGCCTTGCATAGTAGGCTGAGAAGTGCGTTCTGGCTACTAGGTACGACATTTATATATATATATATATATATATATATATATATATATATATATATATATATATATATATATATATATATATATATATATATATTTTCTCCGAGACTTGTGACACCGAATGTCACTGAGTCACTGAGAGGAACACTTAACTCGCCTACATAGTATCGTAAATTATACTCATCTCATCCAATGAAATTTTCAGCAACTATGTTGGGCAGAAGATGTGCTAAGTTTAATTCATGCCATCCTTCTCTATAAATCTTGAAGTGGTTAATCAACGAATTTTGCATGTTTGGTTTCTAAATAACTTTCTTGGGTGCAGAAGGTTTCAAACTTGAATTCCTAAGAATTTCATGACAACCCTGTGATATATTTTTGTTTACCCTTTATCGCGGTTGTTAATGGCAAACTATATTAAAAAGGAAATCGGCTTTCTCGGCAACCCGTCCTCTTAAATAGAACGTCACTTTTCGCTGGTATGCTCACTATGGCTAAATTTGGACGTAATTTGAAATGAAATCGACTCACAAAAGTGACGTTCTGTTCCGTTTTCTGTTTGAGTCGTCCGGCCTACGGCCTCAGAGGTTATAAGAGGACACTTTAAATTAACGTTTTTCATAACGTTTTGAAACTTTGCAAGCGTTGGCATGAGGTTCTCAGAAGGCTGACTTAGCAACGATCTCTTCCCTTGTTGCGTTTTCTGTTGTGGATTGACTTGATTGTGTTGCTCTTCCAAGCTCAGACAACACTGATGACCCAACATCTGGTTTGCTTCTGTTTTTTTATGGTAACACGACGATCAGATCTTCTCTTGAAGTGGAGTGAAAATGTTCCGAACCTGTTGATAGTACTGTATTCTCAAGGATACAGCGGTGGTGTTTTTTGCTGACTACTGTATTTGTTTGGGAGTTCGAACACGCTCAGAGAGGGGGGGGGGGAGATGGGACAGTATACAACTCCTGAGGGCGCGCATGCATGCGCACACACAAACACACACACACGCGCACGCACACACACACACACACACACACACACACACACACACACACACACACACACACACACACACACACACACACACACACACGGCCCTAGTATGGGTGAAGAACTACCTAACAGGAAGGAGCCAGAGGGTAATGGTAAGGGGCGAAAAGTCGGACTGGCGAACAGTAACAAGTGGAGTACCTCAAGGATCGGTGCTGGGACCAATCCTCTTTCTAATTTACGTAAATGATATGTTTACAGGAGTGGAATCATACATGTCAATGTTTGCAGATGACGCAAAATTAATGAGAAGAGTTGTGACAGACGAGGATTGTAGGATCCTCCAAGAGGACTTAAACAGGCTGCAGAGATGGTCAGGGAAATGGCTACTGGAGTTTAACACCAGTAAATGTAAAGTTATGGAAATGGGATCAGGTGACAGGAGACCAAAGGGACAGTACACAATGAAGGGGAACAGCCTACCTGTAACGATTCGAGAAAGAGACCTGGGAGTGGATGTGACACCTAATCTAACTCCTGAGGCACATATAAATAGGATAACGACAGCAGCGTACTCTACACTGGCGAAAATTAGAACTTCATTCAGAAACCTAAATGAGGAAGCTTTTAGGGCGCTTTACACTGCCTACGTGAGACCCGTCTTAGAGTATGCCGCGCCATCATGGAGCCCCCACCTGAAGAAACACATAAAGAAACTGGAGAAGGTTCAGAGGTTTGCGACGAGGCTTGTCCCAGAGCTACGAGGGATGGGATATGAAGAGCGGCTGAAGGAACTGAACCTTACGACACTAGAGAAAAGAAGGGAGAGAGGAGATATGATAGGGACATATAAAATACTCAGGGGAATTGACAAAGTGGAAATAGATGAAATGTTCACACGTAATAATAACAGAACGAGGGGACATGGGTGGAAACTGGAAACTCAGATGAGTCACAGAGATGTTAGGAAGTTTTCTTTTAGCGTGAGAGTAGTAGAAAAATGGAATGCACTTGGGGAACAGGTTGTGGAAGCAAATACTATTCATACTTTTAAAACTAGGTATGATAGGGAAATGGGACAGGAGTCATTGCTGTAAACAACCGATAGCTAGAAAGGCGGGATCCAAGAGTCAATGCTCGATCCTGCAAGCACATATAGGTGAGTACATATAGGTGAGTACACACACACAATCTGTACACCAGTTGATTGACAGTTGAGAGGCGGGACCAAAGAGCCAAAGCTCAGCCCCCGCAAGCACAAATAGGTGAGTACACACACACGCACACACACACACACACACAATCCAGTACACCACCACACTACCAGGAGACGCACCACCACCACCACACCACCAGAGACAGCACCACCACCACCACACTACCAGGAGAAGCACCACCACCACCACACGACCCTGGAGAAGAGGATCTACCTCACCTTATTTACTCCAGATGATTAGTAATATATAAGAACGCATAAATAATAATAACAGAAACACCTAGTGCAAGTCCGCAGCAACACAGACGACCAACACTAACAGCCTGGCCAGATGCCCGCGACTCACGTGCTAACTAACAGACACACACCCCAACACAACTCTCACGATAGTAACTCTATCACAACACTATATCAACACATCACTATCAGCACATCACTATCAACACATCACTATCAACACATCACTATCAACACATCACTATCAACACATCACTATCAACACAACACTATCAACACATCACTATCAACACATCACTATCAACACAACACTATCAACACATCACTATCAACACATCACTATCAACACATCACTATCATCACAACACTATCAACACATCACTATCATCACAACACTATCAACACACTATCAACACAACACTATCAACACAACACTATCAACACATCACTATCAACACATCACTATCAACACAACACTATCAACACATCACTATCAACACATCACTATCAACACATCACTATCAACACATCACTATCAGCACATCACTATCAACACATCACTATCAACACAACACTATCAACACATCACTATCAACACAACACTATCAACACAACACTATCAACACATCACTATCAACACAACACTATCAAATCACTATCAACACAACACTATCAACACACTATCAACACAACACTATCAACACATCACTATCAACACAACACTATCAACACAACACTATCAACACATCACTATCAACACAACACTATCAAAACACTATCCCAACACAACACTATCCCAACAAAATTCATAGTGGACGCTACTGAACATAATTATCCCACTCAATTCAGCTCTTTTTTTTATTTGCCACAACGGACAAAATAAGAGGTACTATGACGCACGAACCCAAGCTACCTACCTAACCTAACCTAATCAACGCATAGAAAATGTGATTATTTGTGAGCAGTTCCTGTTTATAGTACCCCCTTATTTTGTATATTGGTAACCATAGCATCTAAATGAGACGTATTAGTTGAGAGCCTGGAGTAGTTCAGTCA